CAAGAGACGAGCTGGAAAAGCTCCCAAGCCCTTGAGAAGGTGCAAAAAGGGATAAGGGAGAACAAATGGTTAGTTTTTAATCTGTTCTGAGCAAAATTCACACATGAAAAAAAAATAATCACAGTGCTCAGGAATCACCCTTTCAAGCTGGTAACGCCCCTCCATCACACCAAGTACCAACAAAATCAGCCTGGTCCCCATTTAAAACAGAAATGAGTCTGGAAATGACCAAGCTCTTCTAAAACCAGTCCTTGTGACGCTGTTGGGGACAGGGGACAAGCAGCTGGTCCTGTCCCTCCTGTCTTTCAGCGACCCTGGGGGTGCTCTGCCCAGTTCCCTGGGCCACCCGGGTCCTCCTTGGCACAGCCACTCCTGCAGAGCCAACCTAGAAATGTCCCCGTCACACCCCAGGGCAGGATAAAACCACCCTTATTGGAGCAAAAATCACCCACTCCCAAAATTCAGACAATTTTGGGAAACATCAAGTGTTTGGGAAGAGAACTTTCCAACAGGGAGAATCCCCACAGAGCGATCCCAAAAAACAACGGATTCACAGTAGAACTTGGCCTGCCATGAGAAGATGGATAGAAAGAGGTTGAAGATGGAACAAAAAAAAAAAAAAAGAGATATTTTTGGAAGCCAACGGATTCACAGTAGAACTCGGCCTGCCATGAGAAGATGGATAGAGAGAGGTGGAAGATGAAAAAAAAAAAAAAAAAAAGAGATATTTTTGGAAGGAATGCTCCATCCAGGCAAAAAAGGTAAAGAAAACTTTGGCAGAGGGACATTTTCTGAATGAGCTCCACCAGTTTCTAAACATCTACTGTTGTGTTTGAAATCCATACCCTGTCCCGACACTGAATTAATTTCATGTCTAAGCAAATCCCGGGTTAAATCCAGAAACTGGTGTATCCGGTACGATTGACAAGATACACCGGGAGATAGCGAGGCTGGAAGGTAAAAAATTCCTCTGGGTCTTGTTCAGCAGAAGCCGGGGATTAGCAAAGCAGTAATGAGGAACCCAATAAGCAAAGATCAGAGTCAAACATCTCCGCTCCTCAAAAGGGATTTAAGAGACATACCTAAGGGTGCTTGGTACTCCTCCGTGTGCGGGGTATGAACCCGGCTCCTGAAAACAGGCCAAAAAACAGGAATTTAGTCAGACTCACATGGAAAACGTCATCGTAAGACCCAATCCTGGCTCGGGGCGGTGCTGAGACAGACCCACATTGGCTAAAAAAAAATGGTTTCAAGCTTCTCACCCCACTGGAAGCTGCTCAGGATTTCTCACAGGCCACCCCCCGACGCTTACTGTCAAGCTTTTAATTAAACACGTGTTAATTGGCAACACGGCAACCCCGCGGCTTACGCTTTGGCAATCACCTGCTTGGTGCCCAAGAGGAGGAACGCCCACGTCCTTCTGCCTTCCTGCAGGTGGATAAGCATTTTCCAGTTTTTATAAACTCACACAGCATCCCAGAGTCCCTGCAATTAAAGAGTAACTAAACGGGCTCATTACAAGTCACACAGCAAGAATATCTGAGCGTTTCTGTAATTACTCCTAAACGCCGCACGCTGAAAGGCAGAACACTTCATAATCTCAATTTTGCTGCCCTTTTCAAGAATTACCTAATCCTGCTGAGCACCGATACCATCCGCCCTGGATTTTTTGCCTATAGCACAGAAAGATAAAAGCAGAATTTACCTCGCTGCGCGGAGTCCTTGTCTTTCATCTGGTGTTGCGCTAAATGGTAATTAATGAGGGCTTTTCCTGTAGCCATCCAGGAGAAAGAAAATCCCACACTCTTGTTTAACTTGGATTCCAAAACACAAACCCTACAAAATCCAGGTGACCGGCTGGTTTGTAGCTCCACATAAAAGTCTCCTCTTGCGCTTCAGGTGCTGCAATAATGGCCGGGAGCTGAAAAAATTAACATTAAGATGAATAAACGATAGACAGAAAGATGTGCAGAGAGATTATGTCTCAACAGTTGGCCCAGATTCTCCCAAACAACCCCAAAAAGCTGGCTCCCACATCAAGGGAACATGGCCCAAAGCCTCATGTCAACCTCTCTTCAGAAAAGAAAGGTGTGAGACATTTTAAGCTCCCACAAACCAGGAGACGCCGCTCGTTGATGGCTCAGACTGATCATCACCAACTTTCTCTCCACCACGGCAGGTCCAGAAGAAAAGAAATCAAGGGCACTCTTGCAGAGCAGTAATAGAACAATCAAGAAAGGGTTTATCAGCAGAACATAAAGAAAACCCTCTTTACATCACTTCCAAAATGCCACTCTCTTGGAACAGGCACTTTTCAAGACGATGGGGGTCACCTGAGCATTCGGCACCGCTGAGCAGCTACATCAGAAGTGACAAAACCACCCTCTCCCACCTCTGAAACACACAGAGAACGTTCACTTCCTTAAATTCAGAAGTTGGGCTGCTGTTAACAGCCCACAGCGCAGCCAGAGGAAAAAAAATCCCAGCAGATGAGAAGGCAGAGGCTCCAGGAGTCATCCAGTTCCACCTGCTCAGAAATACGCTAAATCCAGTGTATGTCACCATTCCCCTCACATTCACGGGGCATTTACCATGGCTGTTGGTAAAAAGACGACAGATTGACTAAACATATCGTAATTATGGACACAAACAAAGGTGTAGCAGAAGTAGGCTTTATGAAAGTATTTCAATTCCGTGGCAAATCTCCGCATCGACATGGGGAGGGAGGCAACTAAACGCTCTGCGGCAGCAATTTCAGTTACCCAAACGAGTTCTCGGATAGACATTTATTACAGGTAGTTTCTCTGTTCCTATTTCTCCAAGAGTTTAAGGCACAAAAGCCTGAAAAGGGCTTATAACATGTACATAAGTGCTATTATTTTCGCTGTCACCTCTAATGCAACATAATATTAGCTTAAATATATTGCTCGTCCATCCAGCTTATACAACATCCAGTAGAAAAACGCTTTCTCAGTCAGCAACAATTTGTTGCACAATAAATCGAGGAGATTGCTCTGACCCGTTTTCGCTGCAAGATCTTCAGTTTCACCGTATTCACCCCGACAGGACAGTGGAAGACGCGATGAAATCTTAACATTGAGACCATCAAGGTGTGTCCACAATGGGAGGAAAAAAAAAAAATAAAAGGCATGATACACAAAAATAACATTTAGACAAGGTTGCTGGTCAAAGTGTTTGAAACTGCTGGAGTGATGGGGAATTATTTCCCAATACACGGGTGGAGAGACAAGCCAAACGTGCCAGAGACCACCAGGTGGAAGGCATCAGTCTGTAGTAATTTTTTAACACTCCTTTCTGTCTTTACTTTCAAAAAATTCCAGTAGATTGCTTAGGAACACCCAGCTATAAACTCGACAGCTCAAGATCACAGCTTAGGTTAAGCAGAACATAAGCTTTCATCTCCGCAATTCTTTCCCGTGCTCAAGTCACAGCAACCTTACCCAGTCACTGGAAAGCTTTTTGTGACATTTCAGTGGTATCCAACAATGATTATTTTTTTTTTTTTTCAAATAACACATTCATGAGAGTTGGGTCAAACGACTGAAGACAACGAAATGGGCAGCAAAACAGAAAGATGGGCAGGAACCAAAATGCAAAGGGTAATTTTTACTTAAAAGACCAACTTTTTTATTGTAGGTTGGAGTAGAGTCTTTCCCCTGTGCCATCTCGTTGAAAGTTTATAAATTACAATTCCCAAGGAGGAGTAAAGAGTTCATTTCAAGACAAAAGGAATAAAACTGGTGCAGTTCTAATTTTTTTTTTTTGTTTTTTGTTTTTTGTTTTTTCACCGGGAGTAAAAGTCACCGTGATGCTCCTACGATACTCATTCCGTACGGGAAAGGCAACGGTCCTCTCCTGTACCTGGAGTCACAGACCTGGGTGGAGAAAAGGGCCACCCCTTCGCTACCGCAGGATCCAGGGTGCAGCAGGAGAGTCCGGACGCGCCGGTGGGATGTCACGCAACCCACAGCGCCTCAGCGACGTGGCTATAACACAGCTGGAATCTCTGAGGAGACAGTGTCCAAAGGTTGCCAGTGACAGTCCATCAAGGCATCGTAGAGCTCTTCGCTCTGTTCCATAAACTGTTTATTTGCTTCGTGGACGTCCAGCTGAGGGGTCGGATCTGAAGGAGGGAAGAGAAGGCAGATGAACAGGTCACACAGCCAAAGGGGTTAGGAAAAAAAAAAAAACCCACACCCCCATAAACATGTTAGTTTTATTAAAACAAACGCAAGGGGACTCGTGAAACATTCCCAGCACTTGCCCAATCATGAACCTGACCACGTTAGCCCTAGCCAATCTTTCTGTAATGGGATAAGAAGTAACTACATCCAAATATTTCCCTTTTATTTCCCTTCAAGCTCCAACAGGGTGGGTTTAGATTGAACATTAGGAAAGAATTTTTCACCGAAAGAGTGGTCGGGCATTGGAACAGGCTGCCCAGGGAGGGGGTGGAGTCCCCATCCCTGGCTGTGTTTAAGGGCCGTTTAGATGCAGTGCTGAGGGACATGGTGTAGGGGAGGACTTTGTAGAGTAGGGGAGATGGTTGGACTCGATGATCCCAAGGGTCTCTTCCAACCTAGACCATTCTATGATTCTATGATTTTTCCAGTGGTGGTTGCCCCCACAGCAGAGTCAACAGAGAGGACGCATACCTGCACCTCGCAGCCCAGTGTGGCCCCATAAACGGCCCGAGAAGGAGGGCTGGCACCGAGGCACCGGACTGCAAAGTGGAGGAGCGGAGGCGCAGGCACACGTTCCGTTCTGCTCCCTCCACTACGGGGTCAGGGTGGATGGCGGGGGACGGTAGCGCCTGACGCTGCTGCAAGAGTCACCAGAGCTCCTCTGCCAAAGCCTCGGACATAGAATCATAGAATGGTTAGACTTGGAAGGGACCTTAAAGATCATCCAGTTCCAATCCCCCTGCCCTGGGCAGGGACACCTCCCACCAGCCCAGGTTGCTCCAAGCCCCCTCCAACCTGCCCTTGAACCCCTCCAGGGATGGGGCAGCCACAGCTTCTCTCTTCTCTTCTCCAGGCTGGACCCCCCCAACTCTCTCAGCCTCCCCTCCCAGCAGAGGGGCTCCAGCCCTCCCAGCATCTCCATGGCCTCCTCTAGCCCCTCTCCCACAGGTCCATGTCCTTCTGCTGTTGGTGGCCCCCGAGCTGGGGGCAGCACTGGGGGGGTGTCTCCCCAGAGCAGAAGGGCAGAATGCCCTCCCTTGCTGGACACACTGCTGAGGATGCAGCATTTCATTTAGAAACTAAAGAATGAATTCTCTAAGATTATGTCCCTATTTTACAGTTGGAAGAAAGGTTTGTATGCACTTGAAGGGGGTCTCCCCAGAGCAGAAGGGCAGAATGTCCCCCCTTGCTGGACACGCTGCTGGGGATGCAGCATTTCAGTTAGAAACTGAAGAAGTGCCAGTGACACGACACCCAATTCTCTAAGATTATGTCCCCTATTTTACAGTTGGAAGAAAGGTTTGTAAATCATTTTGGAGCTGGAGAGCATCCCAGTGGGTACAATTCTGCTGTTCCCAACACACACTTAATGTTTCACAAAAACTGACTCACTGTATTCCCCAAACCATCCGTAGGACGTCGAGCTCACCTAACCCACAATCTAACACCACCCACAACCTAAAACTGGGGTTATCAGATTAGAGCAATCCCATGGGTTAGTACAGGATTATCAGAGTCAAAGCAACCCGCCGACTGAATGGGAAAGCTACCAAACACATCAGGAATAAAATGCTTGTAACCACGTTCGCTTTGAGCTACACCGTGTGGTAACACATCACAGGAGAAGAGAATTCAGAAAAAGGAATGATACTCCAGCAATACATTATTCCAGTTTCCTATAAATTTCACCAAGTTCATATTCAATGAGAAAAAGACACCCCAGAGACATTCTAACGAGAGCACCCGTGTGTGAGTTTCAGAGAAAGGAAAGCTCTCTGCAACAAAAAGCCATTAAGAGCTTTCTCATTGACATTATTCCTGATACCTATGGATCCTGTAAAGGATCCAGCTGATTTCCACTGTTACCATCTCATTTCTACATTTTTTTTTTTTTTAAAGAGTAGAATAAGATACACCAAACAGTGCATATTCCACTCAAGATGGAAATTTGGAACTGCTGGTATGAAATGACGTTCTTCTTGCATCAATAAACAACAACTGTTTGTATATGTATCTAAAACACCAACACCTTTATGGCCCCATTTCAAGCAAAGAGAAAATGCTGAGGGAAGAGGAAAGGCTGAGGGATTTGGATCTTCTTAGTCTGGAGAAGACTTGAGGGGGGATCTGATCAACACCTATAAATACTTCAAGGGTGGGTGTCAGGAGGATGGGGCCAGGCTTTTCTCAGTGGTGCCCAGGGACAGGACAAGAGGAAATGGGCACAAACTTGAACATAAGAAGTTCCACCTAAACATGAGGAGGAACTTCTTTCCTGTGAGGGTGGCAGAGCCCTGGCAGAGGCTGCCCAGGGAGGTGGTGGAGTCTCCTTCTCTAGAGACATTCAAACCCACCGGGACACGTTCCTGTGGGACCTGCTCTGGGTGGCCCTGCTCTGGCAGGGGGTTGGAGGAGATGATCTCCAGAGGTCCTTTCCAACCCCATGTCATTCTGTGATTCTGTGATAATGACTGTTAAATCAAATATTTTATCAATGTGCTAATTGGTATCATGTATTTTTTAAACTAAAAGCACAGTGAAGTACCCTGGGCTCTAAATTCCAAGATTTTACAGAAGAACAGAATATCTACATTTTTTTGTAGCATACCAGAAAAAATACTTTAAAAAAAGGATAAAAGTTTGATTACTATAGCAGCTTAAAATCTCACTGCTGGTGAAGTCAATTAATTTCAGTCCTGACAAGGTTCAGACTAGGAACAGGAACTGTGCAATAAGGCTGAAATTGCACGAGGTGATAGTGACCCACAAATTTTTTCAGACCTCAGATTTACTCAAAGATAAAGGTATATGATGCATTGAAATTAGAGGCTAATTTGAGAAATACTATCTCTAATCAGTGCAGACCAGACAGACAACTTCAATATTGAATTCAAGAAACGTACCTTCCAATGCATCCTCACCAACTTCTTCATATGTCTGCAAGGAGAAAACCAAACACCTTAGGACAGCAGATACTTATCTTTTCCTTACAAACATCACCTGTTGATTACTCCTGTCACACACTGACTTTTATTTCTGACTGATTACAACAGAATTCTTCGCACATAAACCCCATGTTCCACCCCATGGGGGAGATCCCACACTAGACTTCTAACAGTGGTGGTTCTTCGGATTCTGTGGTGAAGTTGGGTGACCATCCTGATCTGTTCTGTCCTCTAAAACAAGACTTATGAAGGATCCCAGAAGGCAGCCTTAGCACTGACTGTCCAACGGCCCATATCAAGAGAACCCTTCTATTGTTCACAACTGTATTTGACCTGGACAGGCTGGAGAGTTGGGCAGAGAGAAACCTTTTGAAATTCAACAAAGGCAAGTGTAAGGTGTTGCACCTGGGGAGGAATAACCCCACACCAGGACAGGTTGGGGGCTGACCTGCTGGAGAGCAGCTCTGTGGATAAAGAACCTGGGAGTCCTGGTGGACAACAGGATGACAATGAGCCAGCAATGGGCCCTTGTGGCCAAGAAGGCCAGTGGCATCCCGGGGGGCATGAAGAAGAGTATGGCCAGCAGGTGGAGGAAGGTCATCCTCCCCCTCTACTCTATCCCGGTGAGGCCCCAGCTGGAGCACTGGGTCCAGTTCTGGGCTCCCCAGTTCAAGAAGGACAGGGAACTGCTGGAGAGGGGACAGCAGAGGCTACAAAGATGATGAGGGGCCTGGAGCATCTCTCTGATGAGGAGGGGCTGAGGGACTTGGGGCTTTTTAGTCTGGAGAAGAGAAGGCTGAGGGGAGATCTGATCAATGCTTATAAATACTGTCAGGAGGATGGGGCCAGTCTTTTTTCAGTGACGCCCAGGGACAGGACAAGAGGAAATGGGCACAAACTTGAACATGGGAAGTTCCATCTAAATATGAGGAGGAACTTCTTTCCTGTGAGGGTCACAGAGCCTGGGAACAGGTTGCCCAGGGAGGTGGTGGAGTCTCCTTCTCTGGAGACATTCAAACTCTGCTTGGATATGTTTCTGTGCAACCTCCTCTGGGTGGACCTGCTCTGGCAGGGGGTTGGAGGAGATGATCTCCAGAGGTCCCTTCCAACCTTTATCATTCTGTGATTCTGTGATTAAGAGACCCTTTGTGTCCTCCAGACCTTTTCACCCCTCCAATCCCAGCAATATCCCCCACACAGGCAACAGCACACACCAGGGTCTGCTCAACAGTTCTGTTTCCTCATCGAGTAGCTACAGTAAGACCTCAGGGCTCGAAAATAAAACGTGCCCACCACCGTTTTGTGAAGCACCTTGGGTTTCTGTGCTGAGAGATGACAGAAACATGAGTAGGTCCCACCATCCTACCTGCATCGTGCTCTGCGTGTATCCGTACTGGGGGTAGCTGTAGCTGTAACTGCCCGTGTTCTGGTCGTAGCCCCACTGGGCATAGTAGTTGTGATATTGTTGGTAATACTGGTTATAATTATAGTTGTACATCTGATTGTACTCCATTGATTTCACACGATTACTTCAAAAGATAAAGCAGGCATAAGTTGCAAATAATGCGGAACAATTATGAAACAAAAGCAGTGAAATAGTTTAAGATACAACATGGCACATAGGCAAGGCTTAGTCTAACATGCAAACTTCAGTCTTTAAAATATATTCACTATTTACTGCAGCAGTATTTATCATTTGCATACATTTGCAGAAAGAAAGAAGTGGTTTAAACCTAACGCCCTTTCCTGTATTCATATTCATCTTCATTAATAAACATTGCTTTCATTCTTTATGAGTTAATTTAGTATCCCTTCCTGGCTTTGGGAAGGGAAGAGTTCAGGACTGAGCCTCAGATTAAAACAATCCTGAACCACGATGCAGATTCTTGGGGCCCTTTTTCCTTCTGATAAAATAAATAAAGTACTCTGCAGCTTCCTGAGACCAGGTACTAAGTCTTGCTTTAAGTGAAGAATTAAAGATTTAGGGCCTTGCAAAAGAACTGAGGGGTTTTTTTGTAAGAATGGACAAAAATCTCTCCCTTCTGCCACTATCGTACAGAAGTCTGAGTGACAACTGGTTGTCCCCATTCCCACCAAACTGGGTGATCTTCAACTCACAGAGCTGGAAGAACACATGAAGCAAAAAGAAGTACAGGTAATTAAAAAAATAAACTTAAATAGCCCGTGAGCTGACTAAAATTCTCATTCCCAAGGAATTGGGAATCCCACCTGATTATCAAGATTTGAAATAATGAGATGACAAATATTGTTTGAAAATGAAAATATGTCACACATAAAGCTATGATGAAATTAGTGAGAAGTGGGAAGAGGGAAACATAAATCTTCTCACCACAATAAACCCTCTTTTTCTGCTTTTCTCTTCCTTATCCCCCCAAGACTTCTGAGGTCACTGAAAATCTAAATATTATTCAAATAGGGAGCAATTACTATTATTCGTATTACCCTAGTGCTACGAGCCCCAAGTCAGACCAGGATCTCATTGTATCAGGTTCTGAACAAACACAGAAAAAAAAGTTAATCCCTGCCCCAAAAAACTTAAGTTTAGTAGACATTATAATAGAATTAGCAAGGTAACAGAGCTTTGCTATCCAGACATCAACAAGCAGATTTAGGCTATTTCAATTTAAAGCAAAGGAATATATACTTTAAAAAAATAACCATATTTAAATACAGCGTGTCTACTTGTGTGTGTTCATATTGAAATATGTGTGTGTGTTTAATAATGCATACAAATAAAAACAGTGTAAAATGCTTGGTCTTGATCTTTTGTTTTCTTTTTTTTTTTTTAATTCTTCCAGCTACTTGACTGTATTTGTGGGTATTCCTTCACTTTGTGATGGAAACATCCAGGAAATGTACCCAAACCACTAAAAGCCATTTAAAAATACCCATGATTTCTTACAGAAATCTTACAGGCTGCTCTTATACTCACGCTTTTGGTATAGCCACACTCAATCGAACAGGTTTGGAGCCCAACCCCACAGCTCCCTGACACTCCGTCAGCGCTCGTTTCTGTTCCAGTTCATCCGTGAATTTCACGAACCCGTAACCTCTGCAGAGACACAGAATAATTCATGTAAAAAAAAAAGCCATGCCCCTTTTTTTTTTTTTTTTAATATTTACAGTGAAGTACAAACTGATTTTGAAAAACACGGCAAATGAACTTTCACTGGGGCTTTTAGTTGAGATTAAATGATTCCTTCTTTCAAGCAAAATGCTCGAAACCGTCCGTCGGTTTTCGGCGGCTTTTTCAAGGGCTTCAGAAAAGTAAAGTAGTTCTTGTGCCAGTGGATTCTGGGGAATTGGAAGTGAGCTGACAGGAGACATGTCGAAATGCAGGAACAGACAGTAGCAAAGCCTTAAATCTATCCTGGGAGGATACAGATAAACTAAACAGTTGCAAGTCAGCACAGGATTGACAAGACATCGGCACCGTTTCTATCGGAAACTGCCCCACTGGGAAGGAAAACACCGCTTTCCTGTAGGACTGACCGAGACACATTTTCCAATCGAGTCCTTTTTTTCAGCAGGAAAATACTCAAATAGGTTTTCTGTCATTCCTAAGAACCTGAGGCCCCATCGGAGTTCTCAACAGTGGAGCGGAAAATGAGGTTTTGACGTGACATTGCTAAAAGTTGCTCTGACAGCACAACTTGAACAGGGGGTGACACGCAGCCAGCAATCCCTCCTCTCCGTGGTGACCCTTTGTACACCAGCCAGCAGGGAAACAGCAACTCCCCTCCAACCCCAAAGGTCCTTCGCGTGAGATTCTGATGCTGCTGCTGTGAGTCAGAAGCAGCAAGGCAAGAGCATCCAGGAGGGCAGTGCCAGGATCCCGAGATGGGATGGGCCGCCTCACGCAGCAGAAAGATCAAAGGCTTAGGTGTGGGAGGAGAAGAGGAATCCATCAAGGCAAAGGAAGGAGTTTGGGAGGGAAAGGGCTTGTCTACCTGGGGAAAAGAACCAGCCGTGAGCGAGGGTGTAAATTTACAGCGTTATTATCTATTCTGTGGGAACACTTAAACACCAAGTAACACACTCTTTGGAAAGCAGCATCACCTCTTACTCGTGGTAGGTCCTCACTGGAAGCTATTTACAGAGCAGCTGGTGCCCCATAAAATGCAGTATCTTGCACAGCAAGCGATACACACAAGTCCAAAGGGATACTTTTATACATATCTGCATGTATATGCATGTACGTGCACTCCTCGCAGACAGAAGACCAAATCAAAGCTCAGGCTTACCTATATACAAACTGGGTAATTAAGCAAGGCAAAACTACATGGGTACCCATTCTGTTTAACGTGCCCTCTACGAAAAGACTGGCAAACTAAACCAGTGCAAGTCACCTTTTAAGTCTGTTTAGGTGTTGGCACACAAAACATGTAAGTTTCTAAGCTGCTACGAAGACTCCTGCAGCCTTTTGGATGGGACCAGGAGCGTGTAAGGGAATCTGGGAACACTGGAGTTCCAAAATAAAGATGGACAGCTAAAGAGCTGGATGTGGTGTATAGGAATAGACGTTGGATGCAGCAAAGGAGACAGTGATTCTTCCAACTTTTCCACTTTTTTCACACCAACGGCTAAAACAGATGTTAGTACAGAAGAAAACCCACCAAGAAATTGTTTCTTCATGGCCAGGACCTCCCTAGAAGACATTCTGTCCTGTCCCTGCAGTCAGAAGCCCCCCAGCCTGCACCCTCAGCAGAAAGCAGAGAAGCAGGCACAGCACCACGGCGTCAGGCTCCCAGCTCCTCTCTTGCCTGGACAAGAGGTGCTGGGAGGGGACCTTCCTGATCTACCAGCCCTGGCTGGAAGGGCCAGGGCTTTAGTAGGCACGTCCACAAGCCCCCAGGTTCTTCTCTCACATCACAGTGACACTTGCAGTTGCCTCAGCTTTGAGTAACAGCACAAGTCACAACAAAGCCCCTGGCAGCAACGCCCCGGCCCTGGAAGGGGAGAGCACTGTGTTCTTCTCAGCAACGGGCTCTTCCATCCCTGCTCTTTCCCCAAAGTACCACAGATTCCCTCTCCCTGAGGACTGCATCTAGGAAGAGTTCCTAAAGCCCAACTAATGGACCAACCTCCATCACCCAACACCTCTTTTGTAGGCAGGGATTGAAGCAGCAAAACAAGAACTGCTGGGTTTACACCTCTGAGGAGGAGGAGGAGGAGGAGGCAGCACCCAGAGCCCACCCCAGCAGTGTGGGTCTTGGGTGAGGTCAGCACCCACAGCCCACCCCAGCAGTGTGGGTCTTGGGTGAGGTGGCAGCAGGAGCATGAGGGTGACTTCACAGCCAGAGAGTGACTGAGCAGCTCTGCAAGAGGTTCAGGTTGCAGATGAAGAATTATTTTGTTACTAGGGAGGCAGAGCAGCCCTGGCACAGGCTGCCCAGACAGGTTGTATTATCTCCATCCTGGGAGGTTTCCCAAGCTACCCAATCCATGGCTGACCTGCTCCAGCGCTGGCAGAGGTCCTGCTCAGTGGGAAGCTGGCCCAGACAACCTCCGGAGGTTCCTTCAAACCAACATGTCTAAGACTGAGAAACCTTCTGTGAGAAAGAGGGGGGATCTACAGCCCTATTCTAAGTCTTATCACCACATTCTCATAGGTATCGCATCAGCATATTGCCTTCATTGAAGCCATCTTCTGTTTTGAAAACAAGGATGCTCACCAACTGGTCCCTCTTCTGCGAAAATACAGTTTCATTTTCTGCTATTTAGAAAATGTTTTAATCACGTTAAGAAACCTGACTTTTTGACATCTGTTTTTGGCAAGACATTTCCAGTGAAGATGAACAAGGCGGCTACTAAGTACCTGACAATGAATCATAGCTTTGTTTGCCCTGCCCTATTTGAAACAAAAACCTGTAAAGCCTTCACAGGGGTGTACACTCAATAGCCTAAAGACTGTAAAAGCACAATTCCACCTGAGATTCCAGGAAAACGGTGTTTCTAGATTACCTAGACAGTTTTCAGCATTTTCAGAAGTGCAATAACATACTGCCAACCAGAGTGACAATACGCTGTGATGCCTATCAAACCCAAAACAGGCTGTAGACTGAAGGTCCAAGTACATTGTATTTTAAGATTCCTAAAATCTAAGCTGATAGAACTATTCTTTTCCCCTTGCTGCATTGTATCTTTCCCGTTGCTGCACGTGAAGTGACAGAAAAGACCAAATTAAAAATTACTTACTTGGATACTCCTGCCTGGTCCAAAACGACTTTTCCACCTCTACACGATGGATAAACTTTAACAAAAAATTCATATAACATGCCATCATCCACATCAGGAGTCAGGTCTCCCACAAAAAGTGAATATTCTGGACTAAGGAAAACAAAAGGAAACTTTTTAAGTATACTCATACAAAAGAAGAGGCGTGCTGAGTGACAGCTAACGTTTAGCCTAAATATTTGAAAAGCGAAATAAAGGACCATTTAATGGATATTTTAAACGTCAGCAGTTAGGATGCTTAAGTGACTAAAATTTTTATTGACATTGCTTTTTCAAGTTAATTCAAGCAGCACAACTAATCTACTCAACACTGCTTTTTATTCAAAAAGAATTTCATTTTATTGTTCTCACAGGATCTCTCTGGGTTTCTAATATGGCAAGAAAACATTAGCGTTTCATTTCTAGATTTGCTATTTCCAGTATACTGATCTTAAATTATATGAACATATGAACTAAGATATTCGGGTGCTAGGAAGTTTAAATATCTTAAAAGACACTCCTGATAAATCTGCTGTGTTACTGTCCTCCTCCCTCTGCTAAAGACTCCCAGGGCAAAGTGCTGGAATTAGAAAGGCTCGTTATCCACCTTCATTTCCAGAGCAAATGGAAGCGTAAGAATTAGTTACCAAACATCAGTCTCCCTGTCTGTCACGCCTTGATTCTAATCTAAAATGTTGTTTTTGTAAAAGGTTCATAAATAATCATCTAAAATAAAAACATAATTGTGGAGATATGACTAATGCTGCACCAATAAACTGCAGGACTCTTGTTGCTTTCACCCTCGTACACCCCTCCCTGAACAACTCCTTTGTGTTATGATTACTGGAAGTGTGTAAGCGTTTCTGGGCAGGAGTTGTGAAAGGAACTAACCCCCCCAAACTTCAGGAGCCTAAATCAGCCCCTTTGCCTCCTTGGGCACCTTTCCCTGCCCATGGAGAACGATGGGTTCCTCCAGAGGGCAATTCAGAGCTGGCTGTTGTGGGACTCCACGTGGTTACACCAGGTGGTGTGAAACCACTGCATTTACCTTCAGATGTTAAAGACATTCATGGTGTTACATGGGATTATGATGGGATGCATCTGCAGATACACAGAAAGTGCTACCACGCTCCAGCCTCACGCATATCTACAGCGTGTGCCAAGGCAGTTTAATATAATTGACACTTTTAATTAAAGGATTTAGTTATCTGGCACTGCTAGGCAAAATATTAGTTGTACCCATCTCAGGAATGCTCTCCCACCCAAATTTCCTTGCTGTACATCTCATGGGGCAACAAAGAACTTGGGAGTTGACATATTTTGAATACTCTTTGCAAGGCAATTGATAAAGAGGCATTAAAGCAGGGAAAACTAACATTTGAATAGCGAGCGCTTACCTGTTATCGGGCTGTTTTCCATACGTTGCATAATTCAATTTAAATCGCTTTGCCTGAAACAAGGCAAAAATGAATCCAAACAATTAGGGAAAAATACAATAAGCTTCTTACACACAGCTTTCTAAATGCTGGCAGGTGTTCGATGCAGTCAGGTCAGCCAGTTAAGGTACAAAGGATAACATTTTTATCTGATGGCAGTACAAATCTAATAACGAAAATCAGTGAAGAACGTGCACCAAGAGGTCTGGCTTATCCTTACCTCAATGGTTTATAAAGCTATAGTGAAAGAGAGGTGAACCTTACTTAGCATCACAGTTATCTTTAAGCAAGAAAGGAAAACAGAGGTGCTAATAACAAATATTAAATTATTTCTAATTGTAAGGTCTTGAAATTAAATGACAGCACGGATTGTTGGACATTTGTGATTTATAAGACCACTGGCAGAGAATCTGCCACATCAGAAAATGGAATCAATCCCTGAATCTGGAAGTACGGCTGAACGCTTTACTAAGATCCCAAATTGAGGTTTTTCTGAAAGCTCTACCTGTTCTTGGACACTGGAGCCCTCCTAAACTTTGCACCTGATTTTCTTTTTAAATAAATTTCCCAGGAGCCCAGATGTGTGCTCACTGGCACATCTGGAACTTCCTGCCCCCATTCTATCACATTTCAGCAACTTGTGCCCAACTCTGAGTACTGGGTCCAGTTCTGGGCTCCCCAGATTGAGTACTGGGTCCAGTTCTGGGCTCCCTAGTTCAAGAAGGACAGGGAACTGCTGGGGAGGGTACATCAAGGGGCTACAAGGATGATGAGGGGCCTGAAGCATCTCTCTGATGAGGAGAGGCTGAGGGACTTGGGTCTCTTTAGTCTGGAGAAGAAAAGGCTGAGGGGGGATCTGATCAACACCTATAAATACTTCAAGGGTGGGTGTCAGGAGGATGGGGCCAGGCTTTTCTCAGTGGTGCCCAGGGACAGGACAAGAGGAAATGGGCACAAACTTGAACATAAGAAGTTCCATCTCAACATGAGGAGGAACTTCTTCACTTTGAGGGTGGCAGAGCCCTGGCAGAGGCTGCCCAGGGAGGTGGTGGAGGCTCCTTCTCTGGAGACATTCTAACCCACCTGGACAGGTTCCTGTGGGACCTGCTCTGGGTGGCCCTGCTCTGGCAGGGGGTTGGAGGAGATGATCTCCAGAGGTCCCTTCCAACCCCATGTCATTCTGCAATTGCCATTTAAGTCTAGACCAAGATCTAAGGAGCAGTTGGTCTTCTGCCTCAAAATCCCAAGGGTCTTAATCCCATGGGAATTCTTACACGATGCTTAGCACACAACGACCCAAGCAGCACACCACACAGTGTGATTGCTATTTTCTTCTGGCAGAGGAAGAAACAAAGGATTGGACTCCTTTACACTCTGGTGTCCAAACTCACCCAGACAGTAGAAGACCTATATTAGATTCCCTCATCAGCTTGAGGGGCTTCAAAACCATTTTCCTGTCTCCCAACAGGCATCCAAAGCAGATATCCCTCTGCACTATGCAGTGGCACAGGGGAACTTGGCCAAAGCAAGGTTACTGGGAGCCCCCAGCCTGGAGATCAGGCCGTTTGTTCAGTGCAGCTGAGGGCCCAGTGTGCTCCTGCACCTTGCATGACGTACTTTCTTCCCTCAAAGACAGCGTAAATAATTCTTGGGAAATAGAGCAAAGACTTAACTCTAGGCTATATTCGTGTTCCCTGCATGCTGGCATTTGCTGGTGCGCAGCGGTACAGAACTCCTTCTGGGGACTGTTTACAAGCTAACAAAAAATTTAGGTTCCACTGTGAAGCACTTTCAACTTTTTGGGGGGATTTCACTCTTCATCACAATATTTTGGGGTTTAAAATCAATGAGAGACCTGAGAGTACTCCACTCAGATGGGAACTGGGGACATTAGTTCTGTAAAACGGAGACAGCAGCCGCCCCGTGGCTTGCTGTTATTCCTTTGGCTGATTGGGTATTTAAAAATAAATAAAAGAACGAGGCACATTCAGCTTTCTGCAAACAAGAGCAAAAAGTATCTAAATGAGAGACGAGAGGACAGTCACCTGCTGAGTGCACTGATTTGGGCTGCCCACGCTCCACCTGACATCTGTACTTTCCCCCGTGTCTCAGGTAAATCATCCCTCTACGCTACATTTTGAATTAAATTGTGGATAAAGGCAGGTGTTCCCGAAACCAACCTTCAATTATTGTATTACTCCTTGCAAGAACTGATCTCTTTCTCTCTCTAGTGACTAGAGAAGGCACGGAGGGAGATCAGCTTCCCTGAACTGGGGGCTCTGATTTGCAGTATAAGGGCATATTAAACCGGACAGGGAATCGGGTACCTCCGGGGCTCCCACTGACCCTTGTTCTGTAAAACGGAGACAGCAGCCGCCCCGTGGCTTGCTGTTATTCCTTTGGCTGATTGGGTATTTAAAAATAAATAAAAGAACGAGGCACATTCAGCTTTCTGCAAACAAGAGCAAAAAGTATCTAAATGAGAGACGAGAGGACAGTCACCTGCTGAGTGCACTGATTTGGGCTGCTCACACTGGATCTCCATCTGACATCTGTACTTCCCTCTGTGTCTCAGGTAAATCATCCCTCTAAGCCACATTTTGAATTAAATTGTGGATAAAGGCAGGTATTCCCGAAACCAACCTTCAATTATTATATTACTCCTTGCAAGAACTGCTCTCTTTCTCTCTCTAGTGACTAGAGAAGGCACAGAGGAAGATCAGCTTCCCTTAACTGGGGGCTCTGATTTGCAGTATAAGGGCATATTAAACCAGACAGGGAATTGGGTACCTTCGGGGCTCCCATTGACCCTTCTTAAGAGGGAACACCATCCTGGGGAAGATTGACCAAACAGCTCAAGAAACAACACCCAAACTTCCCAGTTTCCCACTCAGGGTATTAACTACACTGAAACAGGCAACAGTTGAGTATCACACTGTAACTGAGGTGATTCTAGAGCTGCTCTATGAACCAGTCACCCCAGTGACTGTAGCCACCTCCTGCGGGTACAACGGGCAGCTGTGTCAGCCGTCCCCTTTGAATCCACTACTCATTCGAGTCAACATCCTAAAATTAGCCTCTATGACTACAATTCCTCCTCTTCTTCTGAACCACCCTGCTTTTATGTATCCAAGACATTTGTTAGGTACTGCAATTATACAATGCATTAGCTCTTTCTCCACTGTAAAGAGGTTTGAGTAACTTTTGTTTGCTAAAGGCCAAGAATAATGCAAGGCGTAAAAGTTGTGTTATTTTTGAAAACCAAAGTTACTCAAAACTCAGTGTGAACTTGCAAGTTCATCTTCTACTTATATATCTCAGAAACACAACAACTCTGTATCTAAATTTTATCCAGACGTTCACATAGAAATCAGTACTTTTCCCGACATTTTTCTAAGCAAGAACACTAATAGTTTTATGCTCATTAATTTAACTCTAAAGAAAAGAAGAATCCCAGTTTTCTAACTCTGAATTTGTCTGTAATAATTCAAAATACAGATTCTACACTATCTATTCCTTCCCAGTTTTGCTTCCCAACTGGCTGATTTCATTTACTTACCGGTGTAGCACCAGGAAGCGGTTTTCCATTGATTCACACTGGATCTCCATCTGACATCTGTACTTCCCTCTGTGTCTCAGGTAAATCATCCCTCTAAGCCACATTTTGAATTAAATTGTGGATAAAGGCAGGTATTCCCGAAACCAACCTTCAATTATTATATTACTCCTTGCAAGAACTGCTCTCTTTCTCTCTCTAGTGACTAGAGAAGGCACAGAGGAAGATCAGCTTCCCTTAACTGGGGGCTCTGATTTGCAGTATAAGGGCATATTAAACCAGACAGGGAATTGGGTACCTTCGGGGCTCCCATTGACCCTTCTTAAGAGGGAACACCATCCTGGGGAAGATTGACCAAACAGCTCAAGAAACAACACCCAAACTTCCCAGTTTCCCACTCAGGGTATTAACTACACTGAAACAGGCAACAGTTGAGTATCACACTGTAACTGAGGTGATTCTAGAGCTGCTTTATGAACCAGTCACCCCAGTGACTGTAGCCACCTCCTGCGGGTACAACGGGCAGCCGTGTCAGCCGTCCCCTTTGAATCCACTACTCATTCGAGTCAACATCCTAAAATTAGCCTCTATGACTACAATTCCTCCTCTTCTTCTGAACCACCCTGCTTTTATGTATCCAAGACATTTGTTAGGTACTGCAATTATACAATGCATTAGCTCTTTCTCCACTGTAAAGAGGTTTGAGTAACTTTTGTTTGCTAAAGGCCAAGAATAATGCAAGGCGTAAAAGTTGTGTTATTTTTGAAAACCAAAGTTACTCAAAACTCAGTGTGAACTTGCAAGTTCATCTTCTACTTATATATCTCAGAAACACAACAACTCTGTATCTAAATTTTATCCAGACGTTCACATAGAAATCAGTACTTTTCCCGACATTTTTCTAAGCAAGAACACTAATAGTTTTATGCTCATTAATTTAACTCTAAAGAAAAGAAGAATCCCAGTTTTCTAACTCTGAATTTGTCTGTAATAATTCAAAATACAGATTCTACACTATCTATTCCTTCCCAGTTTTGCTTCCCAACTGGCTGATTTCATTTACTTACCGGTGTAGCACCAGGAAGCGGTTTTCCATTGATTTTATGTAAACATTTCTCTGCAGTAGCTAGATCTGCAAATTCTACAAAGCAATAGCCTGCTGGAATTCTGAACACACGACACAGGAGAGGAGAGAGAAAGATTTCAGATTTAAAACACATCTGAGAAGGAATATTATACTTTTAGAGAACTGGTAGGAAATTTGCTCTAGTTGCAATACTTAGAACAATTTCTTTTTTCAAAGTAAAAGCAGTAGCTACCAAAAAAGAAGCTCGTAAAGTAATTTTGGATCTCGAATAAAGTGATAGCCCCTACTTACCAGCAAGTCATGTCAACACAAGCACATAGAAAATAGTTTTGCTCACAATTAGTTCGCTTCCTATTTTGACTACGAATTTTCCCACCCAAGTTTAACCAACCGAAAACTGAAATTACAACATTTACAAGAACATGAAACTACTGTATTCTGTGTGCACTCACTCGCTTTATTCTGAATTAACTCAAAAGCCTCTCCTATTGCTCTCTTTCTAAGTCTTCCCACCTCTGCCAGTGCCTCGGAGCTGCACTAGTGCAACCATTGACACAGACTGGAGCTGCACCAGTGCAACCATTGACACAGACTGGAGCTGCACTAGTACAACCATTGACACAGACTGGTCACCAGAGCCTGCAGCCCAGGAGGTGGAAGTCCCACGGGGACCATATGCCACTCCAAATGAGTGCTGAAGCACTGCAGGATGAGGGCCAAACCTTGGTCGAAGAGCCAGCAATCACCCTCTCCATTGCTACCATCAATATAGCCATAGTGTTGGCAGCAATGGTGAAAAGCTCCAAGGGAAAATCATGGCCAGGACCGCAGCGACGGGCAGAGGGCAAAGGGTTCAACCCAAACGCACTGGTAGAACAAACTGAGAACAAGCATAAACAGTTACCCTGTCAACCTGTTTCGAATGATTTTTACACTCAGTACAAGCTCTCCCATGGTGGCAAAGGCTCTTGAAACAAAGTTTTCATCCATATATGGCTCCAGCTATAAAAGCAAAGGAAAAAAAAAAAAAAAAAGTTAGACCAAGGCATCTACAAAAAGGAGAATTTTTGTGTCAATGTCACCCTAAGCAGTTAAAACATTATTGAGAAGTATTTTACCCTTACACTTCAAAAAGAAGACTCATTTAAGAGGGTCGATGCCACTCAAAACCAGCAGGCATGCATGAACCAGGCTCAACAGTCTGCAAAGTGGAACCCAAGAGACAGCATGAATTTCAGAGAACAGGGAGCTTTCACAGAAGGACAAAAGCCACTCAGAAACATACAGCAACAAACCGAGCGTTCAACTACTCGGGAGCAGGGGACAAAGGAGGTGGCAGGCTCCTGCTCTGGATGCCAGGGCGACCAGGACACAGCCCAAGGTGCTGTGACAAAGGGGTGGCACAAGTCAGGTAACGCAGCCCCCCACTGAGCTGGGGTCGGGGTCTGCAGAGCCATGTCTACCCCCCATAACCCCGGAGATAATGAGGGCAGCACTCGGAGGGGAGACCTCTAACCCCGTCCCAGAGGTGTGAGCTTTGTTCTGCGACGTGGGTGCACTGACTGTGTCCGTGTCAGGGGCGAGGGGGTGGCAGTGTGAGAGGTGGGAGCGTGCCCGAAGCGGCACCGTGCGAGTGAACACGCCGGGGAGCAGGTGTCTGTGTGGTGTGAGTGAGTGAAAAGTATGAAATGGTGCTCCAGTGTGGACCAAATTTATGCCAGACTGAGGGAAAAGGATGCCTCTCGGGGTAAGAGAAGGCAGAGGAGGGAATGAAGTGAAATTTGGGGTTTTGTGCAATACGCACAGTGATGGGGAGCGCTGTGTCTGACGAGTAACACAGGGTCAGGGTAGGGGGGGAACTTATGTAGCTCCAAATAAGTATATATACATAAATATATATATACATACACCTGTGAGAGTATGACAGGTGGCCTCGTGGTAACTGACAGCCCTCGAGTGTGTTCGTGTGTCTGTCAGGTACCAGGTGGCTCCGTCACACGTGCGCGTGGCAGAAGGTGCAGTATCTGCCAGCGGGTCACCAGATGCACTCGCACGTGCAAAAGGTGGCAGATGCCCTGAGGAGGTGTGAGAGTAAAGCTGAAAGGAGTCCTGTACATGTGCCAGAAGCAGGAGGCACGCTACGTACAGACACACCGTGCAGAGGGTGACCCCGTGGTGTGTGTGCACAGCAAAGCCAGGCTCATAAAGGCAACAGGTGATTGTTGCTTGGGTGTGTATGTGTGTGTTTCACAGAGCCACGGCCTGCTTGTGAGAGAGGTGACCGAAAAAGAAGGTGGTTTTACTGTGGAGAGGTGGTAGATAACCCTTTGCGTGGGTGAAAAGGACAGCAGACTGACTGCGTGGAGTCTGACTGCATGAGTGTGTCAGTGTATGTGTGCAACGCAATGGCAAACTTGGTGTGAGTGTGTAAGAGAAGCACCCAGTGGGATCCTCACTAATGTGCAGGGCTGTGTGTACACACACAGGCGTGAGAGAGACTGAGGAAGCCTACAGGGTGTATGTGAGTGTGTAAGCAGCACCATGGGATGTACTGCTGTGAGTGTGTAGGAAAGGGGCTGGAGAAAGGTGTGTGTGCAAGTAAGAGGCAACGTGGAAATTGTGATACGCCGGTGTACCTGCATATGCATGTCTATATGGATATGCAGGTGTATAAAAGCACGTGGCAGGCAGCAAGGACACTATGACACAGCAGTGGGGGTGTACATGTGAGTGTAAAAGTGGCAGATAGTGCAGACACTACAATACAACGTGAGCACATACATGCAGGCGTGGGTGGGGGTGGCAAAGCACTACTGGGTGTGAGTGTGTATGAAAGTGCGTGTGTGCAGTGGCAAGCAGTGAGGGACAGAGGTGCACGAGTATGATGATCCTAGTAAGTGTGAGTACACCCCCAGGTGTGCATATGTGTGGGGCTGGCAGCGAGGGACACTCTTGGATAGGTGCATACAAGCAGGAGAGAGCAAGTAAGCAGGGTTCAGTAAGTGGGTGGCTCCAAGTGTGAGCACAAGTATGTTAGCCCAGCAGCACAAGCACAAGTGCAAGCGTGTGAGTGTGTTAGTGCCTCAGAGAGTATGACCATGAGCATGCAAGTGTCTACAGGCACATGAGTGTATAAGCCAGTGTATAAACATGCAAGCAGGCAGGCGTGTGAGTGTGTGAGTGTGTAAGAGCCTAACACAGCATGAGTGTGAGAACACATCAGTGCCCACGAGCGTGCCAGCCCACTTCAGTAAGTAAGTGGCTCCAAGTGTGAGCACAAGTATGTTAGCCCAGCAGCACAAGCACAAGTGCAAGCGTGTGAGTGTGTTAGTGCCTCAGAGAGTATGACCATGAGCATGCAAGTGTCTACAGGCACATGAGTGTATAAGCCAGTGTATAAACATGCAAGCAGGCAGGCGTGTGAGTGTGTGAGTGTGTAAGAGCCTAACACAGCATGAGTGTGAGAACACATCAGTGCCCACGAGCGTGCCAGCCCACCAGTGTGAGCACAGGTAGCACGGGACACTGGTGTAAGTGCCACCAGTGTGCCTGTCACCCTGACTAGTCACTCCAGAGCGTGTGAGTGTAATCTGTGAGCGTGTAACTGCCCACAAACGCACCTGTCGGGCTGGGGTTAGCATCTCGGAGCATGTGTTTGAGTGTGTCAGTGCACGTGAGCGTGCGTGTCAGCCTGCGTGAGCCCGCCAGCGTGCAGAGGAGTGAGCGGGGGTGAGAGTGTCAGTCAGCCCGGGAGTTTTATGAGGGTGTCAGAGCGTGTGAGGGGCCTGTGTCAGGGCGGGAAGGGTGTCGGTGTGAAGGTGTCAGTCAGTCAGTCAGTGCGAGAGAGCCTGTCAGTCAGTCAGCCGGTCGCTGTGAGGGTGTCAGTCAGTCAGCCGGTCGGGGAGTGAGTGTGAGGGTGTCAGTCAGTCAGTCAGTCAGTCAGTGCGCCCCAGCC